ACTGAGAATGTATTTGTCTTCCTTGATCACCCAATAGAAGCATGTAGAAAACTATTAAAATATTAAGAATTCAGAAAATAAGCTGATTACATAATGTACAAAGTAAAGACGCTCATAAGCAATTCAAAAGTATAATGTGAAAAAGCTCCTATTGACAGAATTAACAAGGAAATAACATAGCCAGGAGTAGTAACCTCTGTAAGAAATAGGAAAGAAGAATGTAGGAAGAAACTATAAAATTTTGAAGTCCATGTTTCTGAATAAGGAAACTCAAATATTCTTTCTAGTTGATAGTTTTAGTGCAGTTATGATCAAAATCCCAGATAAATTTTTTAACTTGGGGGGGATTTTTTAAAATTTCATAGAACTTAGGCTAAAGTAGTTTTTTTTAAAATAAGATATGAAAACATACCATTCCAGATATTAAAATACTTATTTTTACAAAACTACAGAAGTCAAAATAGTGTGATGCTGGTGTGAAACACAAGAGGTGGGTCAGTTGACCAGAACGTGTAGCCTAGCAGCAGATCCTGGCACGTCCAGCTAACTGTGTGTAATTGTGTGCAGCATCTCAAGTGAGGGGGGACAGGAAACATTAGTCAGTAATGTTGGGACAGTTAGTTCACTATGTTGTTGAAAAATAGGAAGTTAGTCTCTTTACATCTTCCATGTATCAAAATTAATTACAAATAATTACTGTGAAAAATGAAACCAATAAATTAGTAGAAATTTTAGACAAGTATGTATTGACTCTCAGAACTCCCTATATGTAATACCAAAGGAGGAAACCATAAAGGAAAGATTTAGAGAGTTGATCTCCTATAATAGTGCTGAATGTAATGAAACAATTCTGATGTCTCAATTTTTTTTAAAAATTGGGGGAAAGTTTTTTTCCCCAAGCAATGGCCTAACAAAAAGCCATTTCAAAAAAAAATACTTTATAGTGTGCTCCTCTACATCAGTAAGAAAAAGATGACCAATGTACTAGAGAAAAATTGGGCGAAGGATATTAACAGACAGTTTTCAAGAAAAGAAATACAAATGGGCAATAAACGTTTGTAAAGATGTTTAACCTCAAATTCAAGGGACAGAAATCAAAAACAGTAAAATTACTGTTTCTACTCATCAGAATGGTTAAAAAGTAAAATGTTGGGCCCCCAAGGCTTTAAAGGGTTTGAAGCAGTGAGACTTCTCAGTATTGTCAGTGGGGAGAATTCCCCAGTGGGGAATATTCCCCACTGTCTTCTGAGGAGAGCAATTTGACTATCTGTGTTTAAAAAAACTTTTGTAGTATCTTACCTGATCCCAGCAATTCCACTTCTAGAATTTACCTGCTGGGTGTATGTGCATAAGTTCACCAGGATACACATGTTAAGGATGTCCATAACATAAAATTTAGCCGAGGTAAAGGACACGAGATTATGTTAACCTAATTTTGAGTGTGTGTGTGTGTGTGTGTGTGTGTGTAAATTGGAGAAATGCAATACAAAATAATTATCAGTTTTAGTTTTCTCTAAGGAATGGATATTAGAGACTATTCCTTTTTTATACTCCTCTGCATTTGCTAAATTTCCTCTGATCAGCAGGTGATACCTTTATAAGGAGAAAAAAATTAATGTTTTTTAAAAACCTCAATTTCCTGCACTTGGAGATACCTAGTTCTACATTCCACCCCAGCTCACCCCTCTGAGGGCTTCCCGCAGAACAGTTAGAGAATGCTTGCCTTTGAGGGCCTCCCTCCTCTCCCCGCTCTGGCCTCTTTCTTTAATTTTTTCATGGAAAATTTCTGAATTGGTTCTGACTTATAACACTATGAATAAGTTAACTCTTTTGTTTTAATTTTTGTAGGTTGCTGAAGCACACGTGCCTAATTTCATTTTTGATGAGTTCAGAACAGTGCTGTAACTTTTTTGACTTCTGCCTCGTCAATGAAAGGATTATATCCTTGTATCTTCCCACCATCACTAAAATGAACTTAGAAATGAAAAACTCAGCTGCTCATAGAACTGCATTCTTTCCCTTTATTGTGGGAAACATCAGACGTTCTGAGTAAGACTAGCATCCCACGGAACTAGTTAATATAATTAACATTGTTTAAATCATGGTATTATATGCAATTTATATCCATGTAGAAGCAGAACACATTTTTGTACTGCCTCTTCTAAATGCTGAATGTAATTGTTATGTATAAATCCATTTAGTTTTATGTTCTAAAGAACTATTTGTGTAACTCCAGATTTTCAGTAAAAGTATTGCCAGTACCCAAAGTTGTTCTTCTGCTTATGATTCAAAAATTGTATCTTCACCCTGCAAAAAGCTTCGTCTGGAAGGTAAGAGAGGAATCTGGTAGGTCCGATGTTGTGTCCATGGTCACACCCACAGCAGGCCAGCAGACACATGGTGACAGGGAAACTGGTAGCAGATGTAGAGCCCACGCAATCCATGGACCACGTACCACGGAAGTTTATTCATGTCCAAGGCTCAGTGTCCTCTTAATCAGATACCCTGGGGGTTCCCAGCATCCCTTCGGTGGGACTCCCTGACATCAGCTGCTCCCTCCCCTCTTCCTTCCTCAGCAGCCCCTGAGCTCCACCCCAAATCCCCACAGCCCTAATGCCAACCTAAGCCCCCCCTTTTTTTTTTTTTTTAATAACAGCTTAGCCATTAGTTTTTAACTCTTCCAAAATCCTAAATCACTTCTACATGAAGATTACCCTGAAAGAGGAGCTGCCCTCCTCTTGTGGCAACTACGGTAGGAGCGAGAAGGACATTTTTAATCCAGACCACATGGGCTCCTGTGGAGAGGAGGGGAACAAGAGAAAACAAAGGGAAACCGGAATCTGAAATGTACTTGACAGTTGTACTTGACAGTCAAGTGGCAAGTAGCAGAAGCAGCACCGATGTGTAGTTGGGAGGCAAAGTTTGAGTCCTGATTCCACCACTAGTTAACTTTGTCCCAAGGCCACCAGTTGGCATCATCTGTAAAGTCAGGGTTTAATGATTTCACAGGGTCCCTTCAGTTTTATGATTTTATAAGTCCTTTCTTTTGTCAGAAGTTCTCAAATCCTAAGATACTGAAAGAAAAAAATGACTTTACGTGCTTTATTTCACCATCATAGCAGAAATGGTTTTAAAAGGCATCTAGTCAGCAGAGGGAAGCAGAAGCCTCAACATCCCAGCCTGGTCGAGGCCAGGGCAGAACCTGAACCGTGAACTGCCACCTAGCCGTGTGAAGACTTGCCCAGAGGGGCTGAGGGAGGGGACCTCCGCAGGTAAGGCCACTCCTCGGAACTCTTTTGTAGTCCGGTACACAGCGGTAACTGCATGAAGTGAGAGCTTTAGCTCTCTATGAAAGTCCCCCCTCAAAGAAAGCCAGCTGCTTCAAAAGATCAGAACGAAGAAAGTCAACTTTTACCAGAAAATGGAAGTGTAGGATTAGTTAGAGGGGAATTTCATGAAACCAAGCAGGCGAGCCCACGTACGCTGTGCTGAAACAAAGTGATGGGTGCAACTGATTCCACTAGTGAGCTGCTGGTGAAAAATGTCCTCAAATGAGAACATTTCAACTTAAAAGGTGAAAAAGAGAAATGTTTATTATAAAAGCTTTATAAGTCATGTTAGCCCAAATCATTAGAATCTGAAGTAGTTACTAATAGTCCAGGTTATATTTTACTGCTCTTTCTGGGGGAACAGTTTAGTGATATCTGGGATTTACTTAAGACTCACGGTACCCTTCTGAATGTCCATCATCTCTTCAAATATACTGTCAACTCAGTACAGTCTGACTGACTTTAAGGCCTTATGCCAGGTATTCAAAGGCTTATTTGTTCCATCAGCTGTTTCTTCAAATAATCCTAGCGCAGCTTATTGTTACACAGTAGAACTTACATAAAGCCCTCAATTGCTTTTCTGTATGAATGTGATGTTTTCCAAGAACTCAGAAAAGAACCTTATCCAGCTGAATAACTGATGAAAGACAGACGGACAGATGAGGAAAATAAGGTCCAGAGATACTAAGGCAACTTCCCCAACATCGAGCTATTTACCAGAATAGGTTTCCCTCTGCATTTTCCATCCCACTTTGGTTTTCTTTTTCATGATCATGAAGGTATGTAAAGATGTCCACAGCAAGAGACAAAAAGACATGAGTTCATTCTTCATTTTATTTGCATGTCCCACAATGACATCCCAAATACTGAATTCAAATGACAAACTGCAGTTCCTCGGTGTTAGT